TTCTTTTCTCTTCTGTCCTCTATTCTCATCCTATTCCTAATTCTATTATCTATTCTATTCTGTTCTGTTCTACTCTATTCTCTTATTCTATTCTATCCTCTCTTATCTTCTATCCTCATTCTGTTCTATTCTGCTCTCTATTCTCACCCTATTCTATCCTATCGAATTCTATTCTTTATTCTGTTCCGTCTATCCTATATTCTCATCCTATCCTATTTAATTCTATTCTCTCCTCTTCTCCTATCCTATGTTCTATTCTATTCTATTCTCCTGTCCTATTCTATTCTCCTATCCTATCCTTATCTTCTATCCTATCCTATTCTCTATTCTATCCTATCCTAATTTTATTCTCTAGTATATTCTGTTCTACTCTACTCTCTTATTCTATTCTATCCTATCTTATCCGCTATCCTCATTCTATTCTATTCTGTTCTCTATTTTCATCCTATCCTATGGAATTCTGTTCTTTATTCTATTCTGTTCTGTCCTATCCTCTATTCTCATCCTGTCCTATCCTATCCTATTTAATCCTATTCTCTCCTCTTCTCCTCTATCTTCTCCTGTCCTATGTTCTATTCTATTCTATTCTATTCTATTCTCCTATCCTATTCTCTTATCCTATCCTATTCTTATCTTCTGTCCTATCCTATCCTATCCTATCCTCTATTCTATCCTATCCTATCCTATCCTATCCTATCCTATCCTGTCCTGTCCTACCCTACTCTACACTATTCTATTCTACAAGTCAAATCATCCTCTTCACTATCTACCTTTGTCTTTAGGTGCATTATCAAGTTACATGAAACATACACACAGCAATAATCATGTATTCTGAATATGGGATATTAAAGGAAGGGCCATTAACCTTATAAATTTTGGCTTTCAAATAGAACAGCTCTATTAATGTCGGAGTACTCGTCACAGCAGAGTTGATGTAATCCAATGCCAAGGAAAATTGGCCAAGCTTGTCAAAATGCTGGGCAAGGAAATACCGAACCCAGAGCAGCGTCGTTGGCGGTTCAAGCTCTCCATTTTCTGCAACACACACACACAGAACAATTTGCAACACTTAACCTAGAAGTACATATTATCAAAAGGCTCGGTTCCTAGAAAACAGATTCCCCCGTGAAGCTATATCAGTCCAGATTACAACTCATTAAACTTTGCATTTTAGCTCCGTTCCTCAGAACCAAATCTTACCATCTGGACTAAACAGGTGACAGGTTTTCAAAGAAGCTTCATAACTAATTACCAGCTCTTCAATTGTTGAAATCTGCAAAAAGAGAGTAAAGAAATTGGTACTTTATTACTCCTGGGGTTACTGTCTTAATTAACATTCATTCATTCTCTCTATAAAGCGCATCACTTAATGAACAACAAACATTGCAATTTCTTAACTTGACAGAACGTTACAGTACTTTCTGTACTTTTTGTTGTACATTCTTGAAAACACCTCCTTGGAAAACCACTAGATGGTGATAAAGAGTGTTTGCCTGCCTCTCTTTGCTGGCATCTAGTGTCCTTTTTTTGCAGCAGTTATTTTCCCAAATAAAATGTTGGAAAATGTTCTTTTTAATTATTATTATTAAATGTATCAAAAAATTAAAAAATAAGGAAAAATAAAGATAATGTGAAAATTGGAGCAGTAGAAAGGGGGAAAAGAGAAGTATGAGGTTAAAAAAAAAGCATCGACTTTCAAATATTTTCAGCACTGTAGAATAAAGATATTAACGTTACAGTCTCTTTTTTGTTACTTTTTCATATTTAATATATAGTAACCATTTCTGCAATAACAAATTTATCTAATCATTAAATCCCAAAGTCAGAATTTCATTGTTTTTCTATCTCGAGCACAGAATCTAGAAGCGTTCCACGTTAAAATAAAATATAAAATACTCTTTTCTTTGATTAAAACAGTTAATTTGAGCATCTCTGCTAGCTCAATCAATTCTTCCATTGTGAGAATTAATGCATCCTTACTTTTTCTTGAAGATACAATGAGTGGTACAATTTGACTTTTTTTTTTAAAACAAGAACCTACTTTCCCACCGGTTCTATCCAACAGTTATTATCAGAAAATAATTATTGTTGAATGATTTGTGAAATATACAAATGCTGTTCTATATATATATATATATATATCAATACTAGCTGGATACCTGTGCTTCGCTATGAAACTATGTGATCAGGCTTAGTTTTCGGGGAGGAAAATTTGGGGGGGGGGGGATTCTGCCTCTGCCTACCAGCATTATTCTGCCTCTGCTTACCAGCCAGTATTCCTCTGGCTAGCGTCCTGTCAGTGTGTGAGAGAGTTGAGGGCTGTTTGGAAACTGAAACAGTATTTGCTGTGTGAGCAAGAAGGAGACAGCAAGGAGCCTGGGCGTGGCTTAGCTCAACTGTTCTGTACTAAAGCTGCTTGGTGCTGCTATGAAACTGAAACTCCTCTCCTCTGCTTGTGTTTTGCATTTGGAAGAGATTTCTTTTCAGGTGCGGAGGGGGAATAGAACTCCTTAGCATCAGAGCATGTTAATAATAATAATATAGGAAATACTAATGCTCTGATGGTCATTTCAAAAAATTCTTTCTTAGTGAGCCGCTAGAAGCCAGGAGGAACATAGGTGCCAAATTTCAAGTCTGTAGACTTTACGGTTCTGGAGATTTTGTGACGATGCGTGAGGGGTATTTCGCTTTTATATATCTAGAAGATACAAATATGTGCATTCGGGATTGGAAGAAAACTGACCTTTTCTGTACTGTAGTACAAAGACTTCAAAGTTGTAAACAGGGGTGGGCAACCTTTGCTGAAGTTAACCCTTAGGAATTTATCCAACAATTCTCTAAATTTTTCACCTGGAAGCCAAAAACATATAGGTTATATTACAATAACTTGGTGTTCATTTTGCATAAAGTATGAAAAATCTCAAAGATAACAATATAACAAAAGAACCTTTTTTGAGAAGTTCATACTGTAACTTGTATTCCTTTAGAAAAATTGTGGAAATTGGCTCGATTTGCATAATATATGTAGATCGCTGTTAAGCAAACTGATTTTTGAAGATTGCTGGGGACAAATTCATTCTCACAACCCATAATGTACAATACATGATGGTTTGCTATTGCCGCTTAACTTCTCTGGATGGAATTAACAACAATCACAAGTTGTTCAGTCACTACGCAACGGTAGTTGTTAAAGAGATCCTGGCCTATTAAAACTGGTGGCTAATATTAGATGCTGGAAGACATCAAATGCAAAATAGATTGCAATTACACAGAATGATACTGAAAATATCCAATATAAGATATAAGATATAAGAATTAGATACTCATTTTTTGTGGTTGATTCACCTGCAAGCTGTTCAGGTTTTGAGAAATAATCTTACTTTGCAATCCTCAATTTAGAAAGGGATGCAGTCAATAATTGTATAATAAACATCTAATTCTTATGCACACAGAGCAGCCTTTTACACTAACTCCAATCCCTGGGCTCTGAGAAGTTTCATTTGAAACTTTACATGTTCTCACAAACGGGTCCTTTTTCTGTATATAAATGCTTTGCTTGTACTGATGTAGAAGAGTAAGCAAAGAGAGGGGGCAGAGTTAAGCAAGTTATCAGCCTAGAATCATTACATTCTCATAAACAGTCTAAGTCCAGCACCTCTTGAATTCCATTGATCTTTATCTGGTGCCAATTTAGTATCAATGTTAGAAGGAAATGGGGTTTGCAAACCTCACTCACTGGTGATGTTAACCTGGTCAGGTAACGAAATGAAAACACTCAAGCTCAGAGCCTACCAAGGACCCCACAGTTCAACCCTGAGCTACAAATATTTTTTTCTATTGGTACTTTATCACTCCCAACTATTTTGATCGTATTTCTTGCACTCTTACAAGTAATCGACCATCAATGGCATTGATGGGGAGATTCAATCATCTTCTCCATCAAGATTTATAGGTGCGCTCAGGTACTGAAGCTGAATCAGTTGCCAAGGTACCTTTGGAGAGTCAGTTTGGTCTAGTGGTTAAGGTTCCAGACTAGAAACCAGGAGACGGTGAGTTCCAGTCCTGTCTAACGTCATGAAAGCTGGCTTGGTGACTTTGAACCAATCACTAGGAGACAGTGAGTTCTAGTCCTGTCTTAGGCATGAAAGCCAGTTGGGTGACTTTGGACCAATTGCGGTGAGACTGGAAGTTCTAGTCCCACTTTAGACATGAAAGCCAGTTGGGTGATTCTGGACCAATCACTAGGAGACAGTGAGTTCTAGTCCTGCCTTACGTCATGAAAGCCAGCTGGGTGACTTTGGACCAATCACTAGGATACAGTGAGTTCTAGTTCTGCCTTAGGCATGAAAGCCAATTGGGTGATTCTGGACCAATCAATCACTAGGAGACTGTGGATTCTAGTCCCACCTTAAGCATGAAAGCCAGCTGGGTGACTTTGGGATAATTACCAGGAGACTGGGAATTCTAGTCCTTTTTACATGAAAACCAGCGAGGTGACTTTGAGCCAGTCACTCTCTCTCTCAACCCACTCAACCTCACAGGTGGGGAAAATAGAAGGAGGAAGTTATGTTGGACATGAGTGCTGCCTTGAATTGTTTGTAAAAATACTACCGGTGGGATACAAATACATTTTTTTAAAAAATACTTCCGGTATCTTTCTAGGACATTGGCAATAACATCCCCACTAATCACCTGTGTTGGTTCAAAGAGATAGCTGAGTGTTTCCTATTAAAGATAAATATTCCCAGATTCCCAGAAAACTGCTTTTATCCACAGCAATTCAAGTTATTGGATCTGAATAAAATCCAGCTAAGCATAGCTTTTCTTGAAAGCCCTTAAATTGCTTTTCGGTTCATGGTGGTATCTAAACAAAATAAAATATATATTTTGAAAGAAAACCAAAGGCGAATCTTCCACTGCAGATGAAATGCAAATGGGGGAAAACAATACTTTTTAAGTATCGTGGAGCTGTACGATATAAAGATGGCAACGTGTTACCTGTGACGAAGTTTAAAGGTAGCCTTCGAGGGGAAACAGCCCGTGGATGTTGCTTGCTTATTTCTTCATACAATTCTAGCCTCTCTTCTAAAGAGTCTGTTGATAAATGACAAATGTGAAATTGGAGTTGTTATGCCTTAAAGTCACACAGTTCAGGAACAAGCAGCAATGTAGAACATTGAGCTAAATCCAATTCTTCGGTTTCACTCGCCGGAAGTTTTCCTGTGAGCAAAAAACCTGAATCCGTATTTGTGCAAGCATTAAATCTAGCATTTTTACTTCATTTTAACAAGTCATTTTACTATTCACAACCCACCTCCAAAAACTAGAATTGGGTGAATTGTTCATCCTAGCAATTAGCATCCCACTCCATTTTCCCTTCATTTAAATTTGGATACAGCCCAACGTATCCCTTATAATTTGAGTTATAATTATAGTTATAAAACCGTAGAAACGGTGGTAGACTTTAGAAGAAACCCTCCCATACTACCACCTCTTACAATACCAGACAACACACTATCAACAGTACAGACCTTCACATTTCTAGGTTCTATCATATCACAAGACCTAAAATGGACACCTAACATCAAAAACGTCATAAAAAAAGCACAACAAAGAATGTTCTTTCTGCACCAACTCAGGAAGCTCAAACTGCCCAAGAAGCTGCTGATCCAGTTCTACAGAGGAATTATTGAGTCTGTCATCTGCACCTCTATCACTGTCTGGTTTGGTTCTGCAACCCAGCAGGACTGTCAGAGACTTCAAAAAGTAATTAGGACTGCAGAAAAAAAAAAAAAACAATTGCTACCAACCTGTAGGTTGGAGGAGGACCTGTATCTCCTGCACGAGTCAAAAAGTGGGCTGTGAAAATATTTACAGACTCCTCACATCCTGGACATAAACTGTTTCAACTCCTACCCTCAAAATGATACTGTAGAGCACTGCACACCAGAACAACTAGACACAAGAACAATTTTTCCCCCAAATGCCATCACTCTGCTAAACAAATAATTCCCTCAACACTGTCCAACTATTTACAAAGTCTGCACTACCACTACTATTAATCTTCTCATCGTTCCTTATCACCCATCCCCTCCCACTTGTGACTGTATCTATATTTCCCTAAATGCATCGGCTTCCCTGACACCGTATTTTTTTTCAGTCCCCTTAAAATGCTTGAAGCGAAATGTACAATCCCGTTGCTTACGTGGCTGCAGAGCTTTTTCCAGGCCCTCGTAGTAACTCCAACATTCTGCATTGCGATCGATAAGCTCCCGATAGATTTCAGCCGCTTCTTCCAGGCGCCCCAAATTCAGCAACATTTCCCCTGCAGCAAGAATATAATCTCACCTGACTTTTTAAAAATAATATGGAAAAGCTTCGGACGCTGAAAAGGTTTGATTCGTACAGTTGCAATATAAAGGAGAATAAAGGGTAGTGTCATGCCCTTGTTGGAGTCTGATTCTAAGGGG